CAATACAGCAGAGGGCATGAAGATAATTAAAACTGTACTCATTTGAAAATATTCAGTAACCCATTTTTTCCATTCTTCTTAATTATTATTTTAATTTTTTCTTTTTTTAGTTGGAGTCTCACTCCATCACCCAGACTGGAGCGCAGTGACACACTGATGGTCACCCCAGCGTCGACCTGCTGGGCTCTGGCGATCCTTCTGCCTCAGACTTCCAAGCTGGAACTACAGGGTGCATGCTACCACACCTGGCTAATTTTTTATTTATTGTAGAGACGAGGTCTCGCCAAGTTGCCCAGGCTGGTCTCAAACCCACGGGCTCAGGCAATCCACTCGACTCAGCCTCCCAAAGTGCTGAGGTTACAGGCTGAGCCACCGAGCCTGGCCTTCTTAATTATTAAAAATGCAGAAGCCGGGTGCGGTGGCTAATGCCTGTAATCCCAGCACTTAGGGAGACCGAAGTGGAAGGATTACTTAAAGCCAGGAGTTCGAGACCAACCTAGGAAACAGTGAGACTCCTGTCTCTACAAAAATAAAATAAGGAATTGCAGCTTACTGGCACTTTGGGAGGCCAAGGCGAGTGGATTGCCTGAAACTACGGATTCAAGACCAGCCCGGACAGCTAGGTGAGATATTGTCTCTATGGTAAATAAAAAATTAGCCTGGCATGGGTAGCATGCGCCTGTAGTTCCAGCTACTTGGAAGGCTGAGATGGAAGGATCTCCGGAGCCCAACAGGTCGACGCTGGAGCGGTAGTGAGCATGCTACTGCACTCCAGCCTGGACGATGGAGTGAGATTCCAACTCAAAAAAAATTTTTTTTAATAAATAAATAAATAAAAATTAGCCGGATGTGGTGGTGCATTCCTGTAGTCCTGACTACTCAGGAAGCTGAGGTGGGAGAATCACGTGAGCCCAGGAATTTTAGGCTACAGCAGGCAATGGTTGTACTACTACACTCCAGCCTTGGTGACAGAGCAAAATCCTTTCTCTAAAATAATAAAAATAATAATTGTTATTATAATTATTAAAAATGCACTTACCAAATCCTCTCTGCCCCAGCACATCACATTTGCATAGATTTTAATTCTGAATTTGTGATGTTTTAAAAAAGAAGGCATATTTATACAATACTTATTATTTGGAAATCACTGAGCTAGGTGTTTTCACCTGCAATACTGTATTTAACACAGAAATTCTCTATAAGGGAGAAAGCAATTATCTTCAATTTACAGATGAAAAAACGAGTTCAGCTGTGTTCATTTATCCAAGGTTGCTCATCCACCAGGATGAGGAGCTAGTGCGTCATCAGGAACTAACCAATTGGCCCCAATACTTGTTCTCCCTTTTTTATGAGTAATGGAAGTTTCAGCTAGGAGTATGGCCTGCAACTCAATCACTGTATTCTCTATTCTACTTGCAGCTTGATGTGGCCACGTGATTAAATTCTGGACAATCATCTAAGTAGGCAAGCTGAAGTGATGTTTACAACTTTTGAGTTATGTCACTTAGGGGAAGGAACATGTCCTTCCCTTTCTTCTTTCCTGCAGGCAGAAATGTAGACACAACAGCGATTACTGGAGAAGGCATTTTGTATCTCAGAATGAAAGCACCATGTTAAAAACACAGAGCAATTAAACAGAAGGGATTCGGTCAGAACAATCCATTTGGATTTTTATAGGAGAGGGAAGTAAGCTTACATCTTATATAAGCCATTGTTATTTGGGGTCTCCTATACTCTAATTCATTGAGGAGTCATGGTTGAGACTCTTCCAAAGTTCTTGCCCATTCACTAACCAACACTTTTGGTAGTCCCTAGCAAGTTTTGTTGAGATGAGATCTCACTATGTTGCCCAGCTGGTCTTAAACTCCTGGGCTCAAGTGATCCTCCCATCTCAGCCTCTTGAGCAGCTAGAATGACAGGTGTGAGCCACCATGCCAGCCTTCTAGCAACTTTTATCTTGTATTTACTACCTCCCCCCAATTTTTGCCAGTTGTCTCTCAAACCCCGTTACAACTTGTCTTCCAAATTACACATCTCCTAAACAACTTGTGACCTTTGGAACAATCCCTAATCACCAAATCCAAGTGATTCTCCCAGTCTTTGTACCATCTAGCTCTTTAAGGACCACTCTCTCCACCCGACCTTTGCAGTCACTCACGCAATTCTCCCTTGACTTCCCTTTATTCAGTTACTGGCACCTCTCCTTCCTTCCATCCTCGTAGCTATCATCTATCTATCTACCTACCTATCTATCTATCTATCTATCTATCTACCTATCTATCTATATCTATCATCTATCTATCTCTTGGTTTAAGTGTCATCTTTGAATCTCTCATGGCTCTCGCTCTCTCTCTTTCTCTCTCTCTCTCTCCCCCTAACTTAAAACCTACCTTTTTTTTCCTACTTGCCAAGTTTGCCCATCCTGGTATCCCACTAGCAGCTGAAATAAACTTCATTGATGCCTCCATTTCTCAGCCTCTGTGTATACAACCAGTTACCCTGTTCTTTGCTTTATTGTCCTAATATCTCTCACACTTCACCCATCTTTTATTCTCATTACCAGTTCCCTGACTCAGGCTCATTATTACTTCTTATCTGGGATCATTATGACCCCCCTCCTAGGTATTGTTTTATCCTGTACAGTCAGCAGCCAGATTAATATCCAAAAAAAAGCAGCATCAAGCATCCTCTGCTCTACTAGTTTTGATGGACCTCCATCAAATTTCAGTTCCTATGCTGACATTCAAAAGCATCCGAGGCCTATCTGCAAATTGCTTTAGTTCTCATTTTACAAACTCTATATTCTACTGTATAGAATAGAGAGTTCCTCTAAACGTGCTTCATAGTTTTTTTTTTCTTTAAAAAAAAACTGTAACTTTCCTGATGCTCTTCTTCTGCCAGAAGTATTCTTCTATCAAATATTTACCTATTCAATTCCTAACATCATTCAACTCAAAAGTGATCTCTTCCATGAAGCTTTCCACTATTTGCTTAGACACAATCTTTCCCTTGAGTGGCAATTGTTATCACATTGCTTGTAGCCACCTTGGAAAGTGCCATTTGGATCCCCTGCTGAAGAAAGCACAGTTTACTCACAGCTCCAATGACTGCCTCTCTGGAACCAGCCGCTGTTCCTACCAAGGCTACCCTTTCCCTAGCTGCTTCCAGGCAGTGACTAAGCAAGATGGAGGGTACTATTGCTAGTCTGTCCCTGCAAGAGTTGGAGTTCCTCTAAGGGACAACTTTGGCTGGAGAACTCCCCATTGGCCTACTGAAACTTTTTTATAAGAACTATACCACATCTGTGAGGCTTCCTGCCCATTCCCTTCTTCTTTCATAGGTATTTGACTTGCATGATGATCTGAAGACTTTCCCCATCAGTTTCTGCTTCTTCCCCCTGTCTCCTTCATGCTGTTTTCTCCAATGAATCTCTTATATGTCAAATTCTGTCTTGGTACCTATTTTTTAGAGTTTTCACAGAGTTTACCATGTTCTTCCTTAGATTATGACTAATGGTATAAACGGTTTGTGCTGCCTGTTAGGCTGTAAATTCCTGGGCATAGGAACTGGGCATTAGTCAATTTTATGGTCCCCAAATACCCACTACAGTGCTTTGCACATAATCAGTACCTAAAGCTGTTTTTTAAATATATATTGATTATAATATACTTATGTAAAGTTTAAAAAGGATGTCTACATACTTTCTTAGTTGAATATCCCAATAATTCTTAAAAATAGACTGGCCAAGTCAACAAGAGAAGTCGGCCTTATAAGAAGATGAGATTCACTGCTTGTTTGAAAGTTGTTAGAGTCCAGATTGTGTTCCCTGTTTGTGGTTAGAGCACTCAATATTCTGCCAGGCTCATAATTACAACATCTAAACCTAACACCTTGCTACATGGTGGGAACCACTTTAAGTAACTTTACATTGATTAGCCCATGTAACCTGCTCAAAACTCCTGTAGGTAGCTGTAATTATTTTCTCTTTAACAGAAATGTAAATGCCTAAGGTCATACATTCCAGGGGTGGTAGAGCCAGAACTTAAACTCCCATTCTTTTAATCTTTAGGCTATCCTACAACAAGTAACTATTAGTTATCTGTTGAATAAATAATAAAGGTCAGCACCTAGAGGAACCAGGATTTGAACCCAGGTCTTCTACAATCTTTTTGTCAATGAAGGAGTCCTTTGTACTATGTCCCCGAGGTACTGGAATTCAAACTCAGTTTGAAGGGGGGTGCAATTGTTTCATCAGTGCTGACTAATAGAACTTTCTGCACTGATGGAAATACTCTATATCTGCATTGTTCCATACTGTAGCTACTTGCCCAATGGGACCATAGAGTATTTGAAATGTGGCTAATGCAACAAGGAACTGAAGTTTTAATTTTGTTTCATTTTAATTCATTTAATTTAAATAGCCTCATGGTCAGCATAGTTCTAGTCTCTTCTCTGACCATTTCATCTAAACCTGATCTCTAGCATTTAATTGAATTTTCTATAAAAATTTAAGCAAATTAATTCACCATGCAATTCACTGAAAATGGACTAAAAGGAATATTCAATCAACTCAGGACACATAGGTTCAATGTGCTCAACCCAGTCACCAACCTATGGATGCTGCCATTTGAAGAAACAAATTTATAATTTATAATCCTAATCTAAGAGGGCATTTCTTCTGGCCTGAGGATGATTCCAGATTTCTCTTATAGCCCAACCTTTTTCGGTTGACTTTATCTTCCCTGGTTTTCAGCTCTGAAATGAGTAAGAGACAGGAGGCAAATATGGACATTGTTCTTTGAGGCACAAAATTTTAATTCCATGGGATAATCCTACTGGGGATTTGGGAATTCAATTTGACTCCACAAAACTCTTCACATCAAATAAACAAACAAAACAAAGAATAAAAAAATATATAAAAATCCAATAAAAAAACAGAAAAGAGTGAAAGAGCAAGAATATGTTTCCCACATAAAGAAAAAAAGAATGTGCATCTTTACCTGTTCAGCATGATTTTTGTTTTTTTCTCTCTGCATTGCTGGCTCGGGATTTATATAACCATTTTTAACTTTCTCAATAGAACCATATTCATACATTCCATCTGATGACAGTGTAGGTTCCTGGAGGGCTTGCTGTGGGAAAATGTCCTTTGCAACATCTCTAAGTGGGGCTTCAGGAATACTGCACAGATGAACAATAACACAGAAAGTGAGCACCAAGGAGGAGAAGAAGAACATGACCTGGTATTCTGAGCCCAGCACTCTTCCCAGTTCCAGATGGGCCCAGTCTATGGCCCCCAAAACGTAACCCAGGGCACCTCCAAAACCTGGAAGGCAAGAAAGAGAGGTATCAGCATATTTGGCAAACCATCTTTCATTTACCTCATGCATGGACCCACCCCTTCAGTGGGAAAACGCCCCAAGGACCCCAAAGGCAATCTGGAGATGACTGGAGAGGCAATACAGTGAGAGGCTGAGATACCCGCAGCCAGACAGTATAGGTAGGTTCAAGTTCTGGCTCTAGCATTTACTGGCTGTGACCTTGGACTTCCTTATCTATAACAGCGTGGTAATAATGAAAGCATAACCTACCAGTAGGTTCATGATTTGAAAATAGAAAGTGTTCAGAGTAGTGCCAGACACACAGCAAGTGCTTAGTAAATATTGCTGCCATCTAACCCACTATGGCCTTTCCAAACTGTACTCTCTATGTTGCTTTTGAACTTAAACCCAGACCCGAAAGAGCCTCGGAGAAAACCAATTTCTGGCAGCAATAAAATTAAATTACTTGTATTGTAATTTCTCTATTATTAAGCCTGGGATGATGCAAGCCTGCAGAGATCAAACAGCCTCAAAAGCTGTCTTTTTTCCTTTATGAGAAGCTCAAGGTACTTGTTCCCAGTTGATAGCTACATAAATAACAAGAACAAAAGTTTAAAAATGAATTTTTGCTTCAACCTGAAGACTTTTTGGTACTTGCTTTTTCTGCTCATGCTTAAACACAGTGTCACTTGAGGGACACTGAGGAAAAGGTCCTCACAATCTGTCTCTTCCTAATGACTCAGTATTTGAAATCCCATTATTAGTTATTAATTCCTTTGAGTTTGTTTGAAAATGCAGGCGTTCCTGTTACAAACAAGACATTATACATCCAAGCACCAAATTAGTAATTATTCTTCAGATGTTCCTTTTCATGCAGACACTAGTGATTTCTGATAAGGAGATATATCATAGGATGCCTAGGGAGATGAGAAGCTGAATGCCAAACACATCTTCTACATATGTTACAGCTTATGTAGGGCTGATCCTCCTGTCAAAAACCATTAAATACCTGACTCTCATCACACCTTACCAAACACACTTATTTACCTGAATAGATCAGCTTTTTTTTTTGTTTTTATTTTCCTTGTGTGAATGAAGTCTCCATTTTATTTCTCAGATAAAGACAATATCCTCATAGATCAGGCAATCAAGGAAGAAAACAGAACTTGAGAAGTTCCTATCACTTACCCTAAACACCTCAACTTACATAAACCTGACTCTAAGAACTCAAGCCTGAATGCAAGTACCATTTATTCCAAAATATCAAATCCCAATTTATTCAGAATAGTGAGAGAATGAATGATTTTGGTTAGTTGCAATTTTTTTTTTTTTTTTGAGTTGGAGTCTCACTTCATCGCCCAGGTGATCCTTCTGTCTTAGCCTTCCAAGTAGCTGGAACTACAGGCACACGCTACCATGCCCAGCTAATTTTTTGATTTATTGTAGAGAAGAGGTCTCGCCAAGTTGCCCAGACTGTTCTCAAACCCATGGGCTCAGGCAGTCTCCTCACCTTGGCCTCCCAAAGTGCTGGGATTACAGCCATGAGCCACCATGCCTGGCCAATTAGTTGCAATTTAACATAAAGACTATCAACTGATAGCAACTATCTTATCATTAGATTTCAAAAATAGAGCATTACTAGCATGCCCAGAGCAGCAAAGTGTTTTAAGGCAGAATTATAAGAAATTTTGGCCAATGAGGTCCAGTGAAATTAGATATATATTATCTGGCAGCAAGAAATTTATAGTCTAGTTATGGACTATGGCATATACATAAATAGATAAATAACAGATGATAGTGAAATGCCCAGGACCTGAAAGAAAGGGGAAGTCCCCAAGGCAACTCTATGACTGATTCAAAAGGAAGTCCTGGGATTTGTGGTACCTCTAACCTTCATTAGACAATGACTCTCTTTATTCAATTGTGGAGATGCAGAATGTGTCAGAAATCATGTGTCAAGCCAACACTCAGGAAATAAGAATGTATTAAATACCCCCTCTTCTCCCATTATGACAACCAAAAATGTCTCCAGACATAGCCAAATGTCTCCAGGCCAAGGGGTTGTAAAGTGGCCCTTAGTTGAGAATCCCTGACCTAAATCAACCCTCTGACAAACTTACACATTCTTTTTTGAAACCATTATTTGTAAACAGATCAGTGGTTGTCATATTGTCATTCAATTATCCTACCACTTATGCCTCTGTCTTTCAAATTTATTGTTCCACTGAGCATTTCTGGTTGCCTCAGCTGGGGAAATGTAGAAGAGAGGAACCTGTCCATTTGAAGGAATTGATATGTGAAATAATCCACCACTGTGCAATGAAATGGTAGTTTTATCTTATGAATAAACATATACACATATAAGTAAAATGATGGATTTATATTAGAGATTGATTTTAATCATTGAGTCCTAAAAATGGAGGGCTTCCTAGCCCAGTTGTATGTCTACTGGTTTAGTTTAGTTTCATACATATTTACTGGGCACTAAATATGTAAAACTTCTGGGAATATAAACATAAATAAGACACCGATCCCATTCTCTTTCCCAGAAGGTGGTTTCAAGTGGTGCAGCAGATAAGTGGGAGAAGCTACTTTCAAAAACCCATAATAAATGACAAGCAAGAACTGTGAGCTGGGCACTTGAAAAGTATAGAAGAATTTCAAGGAGTCAATTATTGGTGCTGTGTTAATTGAATCAAGATAATGTTTATTAATATTTATTATAGAATTCTTCTTAATTAGCAATGAAATTTATAAGACTTCAGTATATCAATGAATCCAAACATTTTAGCGATATAAGGAAGTTTGGAGAATTAGACAAGAAAATTACAGACTACCGTGATTCAGTGATGGAAAAAGCACAGAAGGAATTTAGAATCATGCTTGATTTCCAATCTCAACTTCATGCCCTCTAGTTATGAGATCTTGGACACATCTCCTCTGAAAAACAAGTGTGATAAATTCTCTCTCATCTGAGTTTAATGAGGGTTACTGCAATAACCCACATCAAACATCAGCACATAGGTGCCAGAAGCAGGCCCCAAGCTGAGCCCCCTGCTGACTTCCTATAGAAACCCTAATTCTGAAGCCTCTTCCAGAAGCAGAAGACAGCTACTGCACTGAACTAGCTGAAGGCAATCTGCCTGGAACTGGCTAAAAGGATTTAGTTATTCTAGACCCAGCTATTAGAATTGGTGGATCTCCGAAGACTGCGACCTGTTGTGGCATGTGGCAGGTATTACCAAAAAAAAGTGTCTCAAATATGGAAAGAGTAAAAATTGCAACTGCCTGATTTTTAAAATATCATTCTAGGGACGTCTTCTTCAACTTTAATGTGCACACAAGTCATGTGGGCATCTTGTTAAAATGTAAGTGCTGCTTCTAAAGGTCTAAGGTAGACCTGAGACTCTGCATTCCTTTCAAGCTTCCCAATGACACCAATGCTGGTGGTCTAAGTCACAGTGGCGACTCTGTGTATCCAGGTGACAGAGCAGTTTCCAACAAACGTGCCCTACCCACATATGACATCCTTGGAACATGTGACTTTCTTCTCATAGGATATTTGACCAACAATCCACAACTGATAAAGCACAATGATTTGCAGTCCTGTACAATGAAGGTAATTTGCAGACATTAATAGAATTATAGGATTTGCATCAAATTTTATAGTCTGGTAGAGAAATTATTCCAAAAGTATTACAAAGAATTATAGTTTTATTAACTTATAGAAGATTAATCAGGTTTTTATTTAATCTAGTATTTTTTTATTTTGCTAAACACACACACACACACACACACACACTTTTTCCTACAATGGGGAGGCCAGGCTCGGTGGCTCAACCTGTAATCCCACGCTTTGGGAGGCCGAGGTGAGTGAATTGCCTGAGTCCCCGGATTCAAGACCCACCTGGGCAACTTGGCAAGACCTCATCTCTACAATAAATCAAAAAATTAACTGGGCGCGGGCGGAAGGATCGCCAGAGCCCAGCGGGTCGAGGCTGCGGTGGCCGGGAGCGGCCTCTGCACTCCAGTCTGGGTAACAGAGTGAAACTCCAACTCAAAAAAAAAAAAAAAAGAACCTGTGTAACAAGAACCTATTCTTATGTCTTCCCCATTGGTTCCCTCATTAATCATTTAACTTAAAACCTTGACACAAGTTACGAGTAGTTACAAGTTACTTTGAGAATTACCAGCACTCTCTTCTCTTAGAGAGGGCAAAACAATAAGAACACAACAAAGAAAACAAGCTAAACAGTTTTCTTTGTCCCTCATCTTGGCGAGACCTCATCTCTACAAAGCTACTGTGAGATGTTGCTGCAAGTTACAACAGTACAACAGAATGTGCCAGGAGGGTAAAGTGGGCCACTGGGGGAATTATTCTAATAGATATTAAAACACAGGAAAAAAACATTTAAACTGTATCTCTTTACACCTACAGATATGCTGAGGGCCAGCAGAGGGCTGTAGGAATTCACTGAAGGATTTTCTTTTGCTTCCTTGGCTTAAGCCAAGAATTTTATCTTTAAGGATAGTCTCACAAACAAAGCCTGGTTGTCTGAGCTGCAACAAAAGATAATCATTTTACCGTTTTACTGCCTCTCACATCTATAACCAGACTGCATTTATCTCTATGACCAAGATCAGCCTCACTGGGGCCCCTGGAACCAATCACCAGGCTATTGGGCAAGCCATAAGATGAACATTCTCAGGACATCTGCTGCCACGTTAGATAACAAGCCTTTAGAGAGAAAGGCCAGAAGCGGTACAGCTGGCTACTTCCTCAAAGAGCAAGGCTGTGCTATCAGACTCAGACTAGAGCTGACCTCATGAAAATAAATGGCTTTGGCAGACAGATGTCATATTTCACAACTAATGATACAACTTGAATAATGGTTCATCCTAGAAGAAGTCCAAGTATACAGAAATATGTGTAATTTTTTTCATTAGTCCACAACTATGATAAGTAAAGTGGGAAACTGAGGCACTGGCAGAACCAGGACCAAGG